TGGAGCAGGGAATTCTAAAGGGGAAGCAGGGCTGCACACCTTCCAAAAGATAAGCAGGGGGGAGCAAAAAGAAACACACTATAAACGGATTCCCTTCTACCACAAACGCAAACCCAAGCCATTCACAAAGGGGGGGATGCTCACCAAAAAGCAAGGGCTTGGTTGGTCACAAGGCTCTGCCGGGAAATTAAAATTGCATGGTGGTGGGGGGAAGTAGAGGAAAAGTTTCCCAAAGACAAAGAGACGGAGGAAAATCCATTCTCTCTGCACCGAGGTGGCTTCTGTACAAACGAGCGGCCGCGCTCATTGTGGCTGGCAGTCTAGCCTCCAAACTTTTCCCCGGGCCGGTTGGTGTCCTTTAACAATCGCTCGGATCAAGAACACGAGCCTTGTAATCAACAAACAAACTCCCTTGAACCCGCCAACGGTTTCTGCCTTGGGATGAGGGTTTGCACCTTGGGGCAGCCTGTGGCTCCTCCCTGCGAGGTATTTGAAGGCTGAGCGTCTAGATCGGTCGTTTCAAAAATTCCTATTGTGAGTCAGACGCGGAGACAATAGAAGTCCCAAAGGCACCTGCTTCCATGAAAGCAAGAGAAAAGCCCATAAATCCTGAAGGATCCAGCTGCCTCCCTCCGTGTATTGTGGGTCTTTTAATAAGAAAGGGGACAGCTATTTTTTTCCCTTTTCAAAGGGGGGAAAGCGTTTTGAATCCGGACCCATTGAGGCAGGCACATAAAATAATCGAGTTCTGATTAAGTGATCATATCGTGTTGAGGTAATCAATGCTACTTTTATAGTGAGAAGCGTTTCATGCACTTCAGGCAGCGCACGGGACTCTGGGCCGCGCTTTTGCAATGAAGGGGGCTTGCCTTTCGCGCACAACGTGCTGGCTCTGGGGGAGTTTTATGCCTCCGCCCGTCTCCCGGGCATCATGAAATCGTGAGGTGGTTTGTTTTTTCGTTTTTTAAGAGGAATCATTGTTTTGTCTACACAACTGCTGCAGGAGTCAATTGCAGGAGGAGAAATGCCCCTGGCTGCAAAGCATGTGAAGCCACCGAAACCTCAGCCAGGCGAACCGCGGCGCTTGTGCGATTTGGGGATTTGTTTTGTAGGAGAAAGGGAGGAGTGTTTGAACGGAAGCCAGGACTAAACGGGGTTTGGGGGAAGGAATTAATCGGGGACGTCTCCTTATCCCGGATCCTTCTGCTCCCATCCCGGATTCTTTTCGTTCTCGGCCCCTAGAGCCCCGCGCCCAGGTCTTTCCCCATACAGTGGATAAGCTCAGCTAATGCTTCCCCTTCTACACAGTTTTCTCTCCGCCTAAGGTTAGTTCAGAGTTTAAGGCTGCGCCCCTCTCCCCTAACGCCAGACGTTCATTTGGAACCGCAAAATTCAGTTCAGCGATATAAATCAGCAGCTGGATTTCACTGGGGGAGAGGGGAAACACGGAGATTTCAATTCGCCAGATTAAACTGCAGCGATGTTTAGAGGGGAGGAGTCAAAAAGGTCACTAAACCACTTATGAGTATTTTATAGGTACATATTGGCTAATATAATCCAACCTCAGAAATTACCGTAAAAACCGAAGGAAATTCAGCTACTAAAAGTCCATGTAAATTTTACCTTAAGAGCCTGCGTTAAACCACACAGCTAAGATATTTCAGCTGGGCAAGGCGAGCTGACTGCTTATCCCTGCGTGCATGTTAAAGCTGCTCCAACCATGGCTAGCGTTTAAGGGCCGTACAGTGGCAGCCTCTTCTATTGTCTTATATTATCTACTGTTTGCACCGATATTGTCAGTTAAAAAAAAAAGCCCAAACTTTTCTAGGAAAACGTACTGTCCACTCACCCATTTTCAAACTATTTGTTTTTGTCGTTTTCTTAATTACAATTATGAGCTACAACGTGGGTGTATGTTTTCAAGTTATGCATGTACAGAACATCCTGAAAATATACAGCCATTCAAAAGTGGTAAATCAGATTTAAGGAGAATAATTTCCCTGGATAGATTTCAAAGGAGGGCTATTTTCATTTGGTTTTCAAACTTATCAGGATTGCAAGGTGGTGTCTTAACTCACAATATTTGTCCATTATGACAAAATAGGCAGCAAAATATTAAATACTCCATAATGTTGATTTATGACTATTTTTGCAACTAGACCCTAAGTTACAGTTAACAGCACTATTTCATGTTATTTCTATTGCAAACTATATTTTCCATGATTTATAGCTGGCTCAAAACACATATTCTGGATTTAAACTGGCATTCCAGGAAACACTTTCTTGCAATTCAAATATTTTGTTCTCCAGTAAAACAAGGTATCAAATACAAGCAAGTTGGGGATTTCAAGTTTATAAACGTGTTAGTAGGCACAAGGCAGTTTTGCATGTAGTCTTTGGATGCACATAGCACTGTGTGTACTTGAGATGCAGTGTAATTTTTAATTATATAAACCCTTCTGGACAAGAGCAGAATGGCTCCATCTATTGTGTCAAGGATTAAGGGCTCCCTAAATGCATCAACACAGCAGAGGAGCCACTATGGCTTATCATGCCACTGATCCGTAAATAACGGGTCACTGGAAGATTTTTGAATCAGACCATTCAAATCCTTGCAACTTGTGTGTGGGTGTGTCAAAGCTTGGCACATGTCAGTGGAACTTGAAGCACCTGACGGTATCATCCTATAGTTACACTGCAGAAAGATTGAACTGCAGTGTAAGTAGCTTTATAAAACAGTAGCCATGAGAGCTAATTTTATCTGGGTAGAGAGATGCTTTACAAAATAAACTATCCCTCCTCACAAGAGACATGGGGACAATCTTAATACTGTGGAAAGCTTTTTACCAGGAATTCAGTGTTCATGTGGTCTGAAGGGGTTAGATCTTTGTTCCGACCTGTTAAACCTTACATGAATAATAAAAGCAGAGTCAAGGGATTGTAATTTTATTAATATGGAATCTTTTAGATTAAGTAAATTGGACAGTTTGCATGGACTCCAGCAGTAACCACATCCCTTTAAGTTCTTCCCTAATTGATCTTTGTAAATCTGAACCACTAGACTAGAATAATCTCTTATGATAATGCACTATGTAGAGGAGAAGCTGAGTGAGTGCCTTTTAAATATTTACATTGGTTCTAATAGTGTTGCATCTTTCTATCCTGTGATTATGCCAGACATATAAAAGTGAGAATATTCCTTGTTTGTTGTGTCCCTCTGCCCCAGAAGCTATGGAATGAGAGGGATTGAGATACAGTTTCAGTACTAAGGAGTAAAATAAGTCTATACAGGTGTTTTCTAATGTTTGTTAACTATGGCATTTCTTATCACTCTTGATCTTTAATACTAATTAACAACCAACAGATTTTTTGGATTCTTTTTATTTGAATGTTGTGGCATTATTTGCATCGGCAGTGGTACAGACCGGCTCAGGAACCATTGAAACAGATTTGTCTTCAAGTAAAAACTAAAATAATTTTGATTTATAGCTACATTTTGTGAATGCAAAAAACCCCACTATAAAAATAAAATTTACATTTTGTAAATAACAAAGCAAATATATAGTGCCCTTTGGCTTAACCAAAAGAAAAAAAAAACCACAAGACTATTCAGTATCAACCAACATTATCCACATTTGACATAAATAGAAAATATAAGTTAGTATAAATCTTAAAAAAAAGATTTGTACAAATATACATTTTTTTGCACTGAGAGATCAGCAAAGATTAAACATTTCATATAAATGACTTTAAAGCTTTACACTTCTGGCCAGTGTACGCACATTAGGCATAATACATCTATATATAAAAACGTAATACATTGCACAGTTGTACATTAACACTGTTCCGTCCATGGCTGTAGTCTGAGCCACGCTTACTACATGCAGTTCCTTTAGGAGCCCACATCTTAATCCTCCTTGCTCCAGCTCTCGAGAGATGCCCCTTTCCGAAGGGTGGGCAGAACAGCTGCTGGGCTCCGAGCCTCCAGACACGAAGCAAAGTCTCCTTTAGGGACCGTAGTGCAAAATCTGAAGGGGGGGGGGAGAGAAGAGAAGCAGCCCATGAGTCTGGCGCTTACTACATGCAGTTCCTTTAGGAGCCCACATCTTAATCCTCCTTGCTCCAGCTCTCGAGAGATGCCCCTTTCCGAAGGGTGGGCAGAACAGCTGCTGGGCTCCGAGCCTCCAGACACGAAGCAAAGTCTCCTTTAGGGACCGTAGTGCAAAATCTGAAGGGGGGGGGGAGAGAAGAGAAGCAGCCCATGAGTCTGG